ATCGATCCACGAGTGAACGTAGCAATTTAAATGGATTGAGCAATGTCCATTTGAGGATTGAACAATGTCCATTTGAGGCCCACAGGTCCTCTCAGGCCCACAGGTCCAGCAATGTAAGTGTCCCATTCATATGCCCAACCTTTCTCCGTACCCCACTCACAGTTGCTGCCCTTGGTTAGGGCTGATAAAAGCTCCGAGGTGATTCAGAGCTCACCTCGCACCCTTGGAGGGGTGGGGATAGGAAGCATCTCACACACTCTGTTAGCCACTTGCCACTGCTCCCGCCAACTGCCCTGCTGGCCGCCTGCCACTATTCCTACCAGCCACCTGCTGGCTGCTTACTCCTGCCAGCTGCTGCTTCCACAATGGGTCTGGCTCTGAGGAAACCCTAGTGTTTTCAGCTCTTTGTCAGTTTCTCTGTGATTTCAGCCCTTGGCCACCACCTGGGCTGGCCAACAGATTCTAGCCCCCACTGCAATAATATTCCAAAATATCAGAGAGACTCCTTATGGAGTCTGTTTAAGTCTATCCTTAGAACGGGGGGGAGGGGAAGGGGGTCATGACAGGTTGAACCAGTCTTACAGCTCATGCCTGGAGGTCTGGTGTCATATTTTACAATTCCCAAATTTAGGGTTAACATGGTTTGTGACCCCTCACAATAGCCAAATTAGTCACAAATACACCACATTCCATTCCAACAATTGACCATCCATCGGGTTCATCACACTGGCTGAACTGGATTTACATAACCATACGCCGATTCCTTCCCTATTCCGGCATGAGCTATTTTTACATATCAACAGTTGGTTATTTTGCAGAGCTAAACAACGGAAGGAGAATAACCACACCTCGGATTTCTCTCCCCTTTCAGCAGGCTGCTTTGGAAGCAGTGTTTCAGACCCTGCTTACACTTGTGAACTGTGGGCTGCCGTGTGAGATGAACTCCAGGGTGTGTGAGGCCTGGGAGAGGAGAAGGAATCACAAAGTAATTGGAGATGTCCCATGGTCCTAGTGCTGGAGCAAGATAGTATGACATTTTTCTGCAGCAGGGTTTGAGCTGCCAGACATCCATCTATTTTTAACATGACAAAGGGACACTGGAAAACACTTTTGATGCCAGAATCTTGGGAGAACAAAGGTATTTCTACACCCATCAGTGAACTCAGGAGCATGTCATTTGACCTCCATCAGGAGATAGTGAGTTTTTGAAGGCCAAAGAACTTGATACTGCAACTGCATGGGCTGTATGCAGCAGGACACTGATATGAACCACTGAACTGATTTGTGGTCTCATATCGTGTGGCAGCTTCCCCATCCACAGTGCTGATGGCAGGGCAGGGTGTACCACAAGGAACACATGGCTGGCCATTCGTAAGATTCAGTTTGTTAGACAAGCTGAGCACCTATTATCATCAAATGTCTTCACTTCCAGGGGAGGCTCTGAAGCTGTGGATCTCCAGGGATTAATTTCTGCTCATCCCACCGCTCACAGAGCCCCGGGATTTCTCTGTGAATCCCGGCTCACCTGGGAGCCTGCAGGGACTGAACAGGGGAATCATAAAGGTGACTGTTCACCTTGCTGAGTGTCACACCTGTGAGATTCACACGCTGAGTCTCTTCTCTCTGCCTCACAGCTGCAGGAAGGAGATTTCCTCTCTGCTAAGCAGGATTGTGGTGAGTTGTCTCTTTCTATGTTAACGTTAGTGCTCAGGGCTGAGGAAGGGCTCCAGGGTTCAAATCTAGAACCATCTGGGCAGGAATTCACCAGCACAGTGGTGTGAGCTGCTTAGTATTGCGAGAGAGACCCAGAGATTTAGCAGGTAAAACTGGAATGACAAATGTATTGGAAATAGAGTAGACAACGTTTTGTCATTCAAATCAATTCCTTGTTTCTTCCTGTGTCCTTCTCTCTGTCCCAGTAGTTTCCTTTTTTGTACAGCATGGTCATTCGGTGATGGTTTTGAATTCAGGGATTTTACTGCACCATTAGACTATTTCTAGTTAGTGGTGCTATTCCGGGATACAAAAAGTATCCCAGAAGAGCAAAACTGAGGAAGTGGGTCTGGCCCACGAAAGCTCATCATCTAATAAACCATCTTGTTAGTCTTTAAAGTGCTACATAGTCCTGCATTTTAAATGTGCCTGTTATTTCCAAATATATTTGGAAATAACAGGTGTGCTATTTTGGCATCCCTGAAGCCCCCCTATCTATCTCACAGAACTGGAAGGGACCTTGGGATGTCATTGAGTTGAGTCCAATCCTCTGCCATCGCAGCAAGACCAAGTACCACCCCTGACAGATTTGCCCCTGATCCCTAGGTGGCCCCCTCAAGTACTGAACTCAAAATCCTGGGTTTAGCAAGCCGATGCTCAAACCACTGAGCTATCCCCCCCCCCCTTCCGTGAGTGCTAAGAGACTTGTCAGAAAATATACCTAGATTTTAGTAAGACATTTGATACAGTCTCGCATGCTATTCTTATCAATAAACTAGGCAAATACAACTTAGATGGGTCTACTATAAGGTGTGTGCATAACTGGCTGAATAACTGTACTCATAAAGTAGTTATTAATGGTTCTCAGTCCTGCTGGAAAGGTATAACAAGTGGGGTTCCAAAAGGGTCTCTTTTTGGGACCGGCTCTGTTCAATATCTTCACCAACAATTTAGATATTGGCATAGAAAGTACGCTTATTAAGTTTGCAGATGATTCCAAGCTGGGAGGGGTTACGACTAATCTGGAGGATAGGGTCATAATACAAAATGATCTGGACAAATTGGAGAAATGGTCTCAGGTAAACAGGATGCAAAATGTTCCATTTAGGAAAGAACAATCAGTTTCACACACAGAGAATGGGAAGCGACTACCTAGGAAGGAGTACGGCAGAAAGGGATCTAGGGGTCATAGTGGACCACAAGCTGAATATGAGTCAGCAGTGGGATGCTGTTGCAAAAAAAGCAAACATGATTCTGGGATGCATTAACAGGTGTGTTGTGAGCAAGTCATGAGAAGTCATTCTTCCGCTCGACTGCGCTGGTTAGGCCTCAGTTGGAGTATTGTGTCCAGTTCTGGGCACCGCATTTCGAGAAGGATGTGGAGATACTGGAGAGAGTCCAAAGAAGGGCAACAAGAATGATGAAAGGTCTAGAGAACATGACCTATGAAGGAAGGCTGAAAGAACTGGGTTTGTTTAGTTTAGAAAAGAGAAGGTTGAGGGGGGACATGATAGCCGCTTTTAGGTATCTAAAAAGGTGTCATAAGGAGGAGGGAGAAAACTTGTTCATCTTGGCCTCTGAGGATCGGACAAGCAGCAATGAGTTTAAACTGCAGCAAGGGTGAAAAAGTTCCCATCTGTCAGGGTAGTGAAACACTGGTATAAATTGCCCAAGGAGGTTGTGGAATCTCCAGCATGGGAGATATTTAAGAGTAGGTTAGATAAATGTCTATCAGGGATGGTCTAGATAGTATTGTTCCTGCCATGAGGGCAGGGGTCTGGACTCGATGACCTCTCGAGGTCCCTTCCAATCCTAGTGTTCTATGATTCTAAGAAGAGCACTTTATTTCAAAATAACTTCTAAATAAGCTACACAATTTGCTATGCCAATTATTGAGTGTCTGTTTTCTCAGAGAGTTCACAACAAGGACTGGTCACACACTTGCTACAGACTGCTCTCATATTCTGCCTTGAGTGTGTTGGCTCATAACACACACACTTTCCGAGATGGTTTGAGAACACCATAGTGCCTGGAAGTCTCATTCAGATGGTCTGAGCATCTTAACAGAAATCTTGCTCCTTTTTCAGTTTTACCTAAATCCACAATTAGGGATGAACTGAGGACTGAGAGGAGGGTTGCTGAAATCTCAACCTCACAGACGTAACTGGTTGCCTCCCTCTCCAGTTAGGTAATTATTATGAAATAGTTACCGTACTATTGATTATAAGTTGCGTAACCCTTGTGTTATGCTTATAAGAAGCACCTGGGATCTTTCTAGGGGAAAAAGTGATACGCCACATTTATTAAAAAAGCAAGAGTAAAGCGGCTAGCGTATGCCTACATAGACTTACACACCGGGCTCATATAGACTACACGGAATGGTCAAAAGAGGATATGCAAATTCCACAGGAATTGGAATATCTTCTTCCGATTGCATTTTCGAAAGCAGAGCTTTTGAAAGTGAAAGTAGTTTAAACACGGCTTTTTCTGAGAAACTGCCCCCCGCCCCCATTGAAAAGCTGCGTAAACCTTATTTTTTGAGGAAGAGCTCTATTAGTCTGGACCGATGCTCCAGTCTTGACAGGACAGGATCCCAAAACTGTGGCACACAGCCCCTTTTTTATAGCCATTTTCCTTCATTGGGATCAGTAGTGTTTTGCACTGTCGTGCTGTAATCCATCACCGTTCAATGGGTGCTTGTTTTCTTTAGTTGTTCTTCTCGTATCACAGCTCTCTTGTCCCAATTGATAGGTGCTTGCCTTATCTTTTAGGGACATCAATCTGTCCTTCATCTGTGTCTCCCTAGGGGTATACAGCAATTTTCCAGAGGGTTTATGTCAGTCTATATCTCCTTCTTAGAACATCTGGTCCAGCGACGGCCTTCACACTTATCTTCTAACACACATTCCTCATTCTGCACCCACACAAACAAAATTTACATAGATGCTTCTGTAAAAAAAAACCCAGAGCTAATACACAAACACACAAAAATTCTAAAATAAAAAAAAGATAACAATGATAATGGTAAAAGAGTGGCAGTGGTAAAAAAATTTTTTTTGGTTCATTAGGGCTTTAACATTGATAAAAGTTATTAATGAAAAGTCCCTGTGAGGACTTCTCTGGATTTGACTATAACTTATGCAATCTGGTGCCACCTCACTGCTTACCCCCGTTTCTAGATTGGTAATTACTATAATATAGTGACCATACTATTTATTATAACATGTGTAACCCCATCTTTGTGCTTCGCACCCTTCACAGGCAACTGAGATTTCTGAGCAGGATTGATGCATTCAAATGTCATGGCAGCTTTCAACCTCACCACCTCTGAACCATTAACATTCATCCTAATTGGAATCCCTGGCCTGGAAGCTGCTCACATCTGGATTTCCATCCCCATATTCATGATGTATATTATTGGCTTGTTGGGAAACTTTGCTCTTCTCTTTGTTGTAGGCAAAGAGCAGACCCTACACAAGCCAATGTACCTGCTGCTCTGCATGCTGACACTCACAGAAATCGGAACAACTACCTCCGTCGTTCCAAAGACATTGTGCATATTGTGGTTTAATTGGAAAGGCATCACAATGGGTGGCTGCCTCGCCCAGATGTTTTTCTTTCATGCGGGTTGTATGATGCACACAGCCGTCCTTGTAGCAATGTCCTTCGATCGTTACGTTGCCATATGTAACCCTCTGAGATACGCCACCATCCTCAGCAATGCACGGATAGCTAAGCTAGGCCTACTGGTTGTGATGAGAGCTGTTCTCTTTAATGTGCCTCTTCCCTTGCTCCTGTGGAGGCTGCCATTCTGTGCCAACCGCATTATCCGCAACACGTACTGTGACCACATGTCTGTAGCAAAGTTGTCATGTGGGGACATCACAGTCAACAGCCTGTATGGCTTGCTGATGACATTCATAGTCAGTGGGTCTGATCTAATATTCATTGCTCTCTCTTACAGTTTGATTATCAGGGCCGTTCTCATGTCTTCCAGAAAAGCCCACCAGAAAGCCCTCAAAACCTGCACAGCCCATGTCTCTGTGATGCTGACGTCTTATCCTCCGGCCTATATCTCCAGTATAACACATCGGTTCAGTATCGCTCCTCATGTTCACATAATTTTGGCCAACCTCTATTTCCTCTTCCCTCCCTTGCTTAACCCCATCGTTTATGGGGTCAAAAACAAAGAGTTTCGTGACAAAGTTGGGAAATATACCGGTAGAAGGTGATTGCATGCAGACACTAACTTTAATCCTGCATGTCGAGAGGGGAAGGGATATCACCTTGTTAAACAAGGGCTCTCAGTCTGAGCTCAGCATTGTGGCAGTTCAGAGCCGGAAAAGCTACTAACACGTAGTAGCTTATCATTCCATCACCATCCACCTCCAAATTCCCCCTTTTGAGTATCAGCTGATCTCTTTGACTGCCACCCATCAGTGCACCCTCATACAGGTGAGTTATCATATGTATAGTGATCTGGTGAGTTTAGATAAAATGACACAAAGTTCGTAAAGAGTTCCACCAACAAACTGCACTGTTGGTGCACTGTTGTGGTCACTGCAGGTATGTATGGCCAGCCGCAGAAGACTTCTTCTGATAAAGCCAGTGAAGATTAAATGTTCCCTGTCAGGGTATGTCTATGTGTGTCATGTAACTCAAAATAAGCTACGCAATTCGAGTTCTGCAAATTGAGTAGCTTATTTTGAGATAGTTTATTTCAAAATTTGGCGCTGTCTACACAGCACCAAATTTTGAAATAGACCACTATTCTGCCAACTCCCTTAATCCTCGTGGAAAGAGGTTTACCGGGACATCGGAATAGCAAGCCTATTATTTCATATATATTTTGAGTTGATCTAGTTCGGCTACTAGAAGTGGGCCTCATCCTCCCTGATTGGATCCACCTCGTCATCTCCAACCTGATTCTGGCCTGCATATTTATACCTGCCTCTGGAAATTTCAACTACATGCATCTGATGAAGTGGGTCTTTGCTCACGAAAGCTTATGCTCCAACACTTCGGTTAGACTATAAGGTGCCACAGGACTCCTCGCCGCTTTTGCAGATTCAGACTAACACGGCTACCCCTCTGATATTTTTAATCATGATATTTTTAATAGTCTCTAAGGTGCTACAGGACTACCCATTTTTTTAAAGTTACAGGCTAACACAGTGACCTCCCTGAGACTTTTTAAGAATGAGGAAGCTAGTGAAACAGAAATTAAAACCGCAATCCCCCAAACGGTTTCAATCCTATTAACCAAGATTGGCAGGGATGGTGCAAAACCATGCTCTGAAGCAAGTTCTATGGAAATAAGAGACCTATGCAGGTTTACTCACTACTAAGCATAGTCCTAGCACCCAGGATTGAGCCAACTCATCAAATGAGTTTATGAAATTCCTCTTCCAGGTGATAACACCCCAAGACATTGTTTCTTACCAAGTATCTAACTTCACTTTATGCTCAGCAGATTGCTCAGTTCTTTCATTTCGTGTAAACCTTGTGATAGCCAAGCACTCCCCTGGAATCCAATCAACCACTTCTATGATTCATTTGGCACACCCCACAAACTCTAGGTACAGAAGCGCTGTTGGAAAAACTTCCCTATCTCAGGAGACTGTCCTGGTTATGATAATCTTGTGGCCCACTGAGATGAACAAGGGCCAGTCATGAGGCCTGCTCACTAACCTACGGTGTCCCTCCCAGCCTTAGGAGAAACTTATCTCCCAGCTTTTTGGCCTTCTTGAGAATGCTCCAGGCCTCCTATGGATAATGGCTGCTATGATGCAGCAGGGTCATGTGACCAGACCACATGACACTGAACTCCATTTTGGGTATCTGTATTTTTCCACAAACTGGACTGGGAACTGTTTTTGGAGCAAAGCAATCCTGCCATGTCTAAGGTGGGGTATGATGCTCTCTAGTGCCTTTTCCCACCACACAGGAGAGCTCCTGGAAATACTTGAGGAACAAAGACTGAAATTGTGAATGTGTGGGTGTAGCCAGACGGGAACCTCTCTGTAACATCTATTTTTGCTTGCCTGGAGCATGCAGGGAACACAGAGCAGAAGGTCCAGGCTGTGTGACCGTGAATGGCTGTAAACAGAGATACGCTAATTGCTGACTAAGAGGCTGCCAAGGAGTGCCCTTGACTGAACCCATATTGATACGAACACACAGCCGTCTGCGGGGGGAGGAATCTCTCGCCCAGTAAAAAAATGTCCAGTACGCACAATTTAGTTATCTCTCTTGCAAGTGTAAATTAACTTGAAACTTGCTTGTAAGAACTGGCGCCACAAAACGGACCAGTACAATTTGGCATCTTAAGATAAGAAAGAGGATACAGGCCCCCAGGGGTATAAAGATGGGTCCAGCAGCACATTTACTCTGAGTGTCAATCTACCATCTATCTGCTGGTCAGGTTAGGTGTTTGATCTCCCGAGGTTCCAGAGGGGATGCCCACCTCATATTCGTCTTTCCTAGGAATTGAGATACCGGCCCTGGCCTGACATGCTGGAGGCACAGAAAAGGGTAAAAATTGTACCTGGATGTGATCCTTTGTCTGAAGTGTACACATAGACTTAGAGCTCTTTAAAGATTAAGCTGTCACTTGGTACTATTATTTCTATTTTCTATCTTTATTTTCTTTGTAACCATTTTTAAGATCTATATTTGCTAGCAGTTAAGAAAGAGAGCAATAGCCATTGTAACCATATGCTTTTATAAGTCTTTTTAATAAACCTGTAACTGTTTAAGATTTTAACCTGACTCCTTCAGTTGCTCTAACAGAACCAAGCACAATTTAAAAGAACTTCAGCCGGTCATAAGGGACAGGTATAAAAAGAGCTTGGGCATTTGGATCTTTGTCACTCCCAAGTGACAGGTCCGCTGGGGCACTTCTCAGCCTTCCCTAGGCTGCCCGCTGTGAAGGAACTCTGTGTTCTAGCAGCTAAAATCTGAGGTGTAATAAGCTCTTCCTATAAACAGGGGCGTCTGTTGGCCTACTAGCTACCCTCTGCGATGGGACCCCAGTCCTAGCAGTAAAGAAATGGATGTTAAACCTTTTCTCGGAAACACACACACACACATACACTGCCCTGACCGTTAGCTGACAATGGGTCCCAGACTAAGGGGATTTGTAGCCTCTGGGTGGGAACCTCATGTACTGCTTGAGTCACCATCCAGACTGAGAATCTACTAATTCATGTCCAATCTACAGATAATTTTAGGTTCAGCCTGTGGTTCTGCTTATTGAATAGGGTAATCTGCTTTGATTGGCTTGCTGTTCTAGATAATTTGAAATCCACCGTTTTTATTTAAGCTCCTTTTTTGCTTTATCTCAGTTGATTTGCCTTTGACTGAAGTCTCTTGGGAAAAACCTGAACTTGGATAACACAGGCTGATGCTGTAGGCTTCCCTCATCGAGAGGAGGGTGACCTCTGTTAACAGACTCACATTTCACAGATTCATGATCAGTGCAAGACAATATCATTTTGGGTTTAGATGAAGAATGTTAAGAACTAGTCAACTATCTGATGAGCAAATGCTTATCGAATAGTCGAGTCAACTAGTTGCTTCCCTCCCCCCTTGCTGCCTCTATCAGATAGGAACAGCAAAGTGGGGGGAAGAGAGAGTACTTCAAAGTGGCAGCAGCACATGGAGTACAGACTCCATGCGGCGCTGCCACTTTGAAACACTGCAGTGTCATTTCAAAGGGGAAGCGCCACATGGAGCCCAGGGTCAGCTGGAGACTCCCTAGTTGACCCTGGACTCTGTGCAGCATTCCACAGAACCTGGAGTCAGCTGGAGAGTCCCCAGCTGATCCTGGACTCCATGTGGTGCTGCCTCTTTGAAATGCTGCACAGAGCCCAGGATCAGCTGGGGAATCCCCAGCTGATCCCAGGTTCTGGGGAAATGTCACACAGAGCACGGGGTCGGTCCCCAGCACACCCTGGGTTCCGCATGGCATTTCAAAGCAGCAACGCCACATGGAGCCCAAACTCTGAGTCTCCCACTGACTCCCGGCTCCATGTGGGCGCTTACACTTTGAAATAAATAAGAGCCCCCACTGGGGAATCTTGTACATTTCAAAGCAGGCACGTTGCGTGCAGCCCGGGGACAGCGAGAAGTCCCACTGACTCAGGGCTCCATGCAAGTGCTTCCACTTTGAAATGGACAAAACCTTGGGCTGCACACGAAGTTCCAACTTTGAAATGCACAAGAGCCCTCACTGGGCCTCTTCTACATTTCAAAGGAGGAACGCGGAAGTGCCAATTGACTAGTCGAGTAGTCAATGGAAATTCCATCGATGACTTCACAAGTGAATTAATCGATATTTAACATCCTTAGTTTAGGGTATGTCTACACTACAGCGCTAATTCGAACTAACTTAGTTCGAATTAGTTAATTCGAACTAAGCTAATGTGAACTAACGCGTCTAGAACTAAAAACTAGTTTGAATTAGCGTTTTGCTAATTCGAACGAGCATGTCCACATTAAGTGGACCCTGAACCGGGCTTAAGGATGTCCGGAAGCAGTGCCGGCAGGGCATCAGAGGAGGCCTTAGAGTGTGGAGATGCTGTCTCAGGCTAGCCGAGGGCTGCGCTTAAAGGGACCCGACCCCCACGCCAGACAGACAGTTCTCAGGGGTGCCCCGCTTGCAAACCAGTCCTCGCTTGGAGTGCCCGGAGTGCCCACACTGGGCACATCACACCACTCGGCCATCAGACCGGCTGCACTTGCCGCAGGCTGCCATCTGGGGAGAGGGGGCAACTGGGGGGCTGCAGGAGAGCTTCCACCCCCAGAAGCCCGCAGAGCCAGCCCAGTCCTCCCCATCGGGGGCTCGTGCCCCATTCCTCCCTCACCTCCTTCCACTTACCCTTCCCTAGCCCCTTTTCTTGATGTACAAAATAAAGGACAATTGTGTTCAAAAATGGAATCTGTCTTTATTGAACAAAACTGGGGGAGACTGGGAAAAGGAGGTGGGAGAGGGGAAGAGAGAGGCTGGGAGAGGGGAGGGCAACTAAAATGATCAGGGGTTGGGAACAGGTCCCATATGAAGAGAGGCTAAAGAGACTGGGACTTTTCAGCTTAGAAAAGAGAAGATGGAGGGGGGACAGGATAGAGGTCTATAAAAGCATGAGTGGGGTGGAGAGGGTG